AATCGTAGCATCGACCTCGTCTGGAAACTTGGTCGCAAGGAATTCGTAGACATTGACGATGCCTTTTCCGCTGACGACGCGCTCGGTGGAGACACGGCCGTGAAACTTTCCCATGAGGTGGAGCAAGAGCTCACATTGCAAGTCGTCGCGAGGCGCAAACGCAACATGGCCCCCCTCGGAAGGCCATGCATCATATATCAATCCCCCCGAGGTCTCAGAGCTAGTGGCAAAGGTCTCGCCGAGGCCCGTGCCGGCGCCAACGCAAGCGACAGGTGCACCCACGGTTGGTACGATCGGTCCATGCGGCGAAATTTCGTCGTAGTCAGAAGCCTCAAGGGTTACGACACCGTACCCGTTGGCCGCGAAGTCGTTCACGAGGCGCATGGACCCGCGGGGCATCTCGAACTCGTCCTCGAGGCTCCTCGCATCAATGACCCAGCACAGATTTGTGAATACGACACGGTCCTTACTCACGGGACCTGCCACGGCCAGGCATCCGGCGACGAGCTCGAACAGCGGCAGGTTTGAATCGCGGAGGAACCGATGAAGTAGGTCTGTGAAGTCACCTTCAATATTGTCGTTCTTGTACGTGCACTTCGATAAGGGCTGGGTTTTTCCGACTTGGTGGAGGGCCGAAGCATCCAGACCGCTCGGATCCTCCACACGAAAGAGCTCCAACCTTGAGTTCGTCCCACCCAGATCCCCGCAAAGCACGACGCTTACGCCCGCCAGCACGGACGCGCTGCGTTTGGGCCGAAGACCGTCCGATGTTTCCATGTCAGCAAAAATTATGCTTGGGGAAACCAACTCTCGGTGAAGATGTAGCGGTACTAGCTGAGGTGAGCTGGTAAGCTCGCGGGCTCTCTGAAAGGCCTTCTGTGTTAGAATCCGAGTATGCTAGTATGAAGCACCAGCATAGTATAGCATCAGCATAGCCAGTGTAAGGCAGACTTAGCATAGCCAGCATAGGCCAGTATGAGCGTCCCAGCATAGGGAGGATAGCATAGTCCCGAGTTAGGGTAGCATAGCCCAAGGAGCGGAATGTAGGCTCCCTAGGTAGCTGGCTTATCGCCAAGCGCACTTTGATTGTGCTTAATCACACTCGCGTTCTAAGGGCGATATTCGCCGCTTTATCATGGTAGCAGGTGCACTGTGATCGCAACCAAAACAGAAAAACACACGGGCGACACTCGCACTACACACACGAAACGCACACGCGAATTTACAAACAAAACAGGCGACGAACAAAGCCCCCAACGGCGGGCATGTCGGCCGATATAAGAGGAACCAGGTACGATGGTAGCTTCAGAATACCACCAGGGGGAACAGCATACCCCAGCAGACCGGGCGGGTCGAGAATAAGCCAATTTCCGAATCTGGGTGGCGACGACTCCACCATTAGACAACAATTTTCATCATGGGACAGAACTGTCAAAGCAAGCATGAAAGCGCAAAATTTATCGCAGTTATATGTCCATGAAGAATACGACGATGCTGAGCACCAGGACACTTTCAAGATCGCATCGCTGCACCGCTCTGACGCCTTCGGCGGCCCGCCACGTGTAGGGTACATGCTCGGGGACATCCCGCCCATCGTCCGGGGCCAGAACTATGTCGCGGTGCGCGCTCGCAAAAAACGCTCTCGTTTACGGCGCGAGCGCCCGACGGGTCCGTATGCGCTCTCCGGCCTCGAACCAGACCTCTGCGCGCATCAGCGCGCGTTCGCACATCATAATAGCGTTCGTCGAACGTCTCCGGCGGCCGAAAGGAGAGCGCAGTGCGCTGCGAGCACCTCGAAGGCGTGCTGGGAGAGCACCCGAAAAGTAGCGACTTTGCGCCCGCATAGAAAACGAACGCGAGGGTGTCCATTGTCACGGCGCACAGTTCCGAAGAGAGGGCGTTCCCGGCTTTCAGACGCGCTATCCCGTGACAATGGACACGTCGAACGCCGCGCGCGCATCAAACCTGAAGTACGGCTTCCCTCATGGCTACGGCGAAGCGCGACCGGGGCTGTAGCCCCGACGCCTCCGCCGCCCCGCGCGCAGTGGCGAGGTTGGCTTGAGCCCGTGCAGAGCGCGGTTCCTGGGCCGTACCCGTCCTAGGCCCGCGCGCGACGTTTCGGCACGGGCTCGGAGCACTCGTGGCGGTCGCGCGGCGCGTTCGGCCGTTTGGAGCGCTGCGGCGCTCGTAGGTGCCCGGCGGCCGCGCCACACGCCCTCCGAGCCCGTACAGAGCGGCCCGACGCGCGTCCTAGGTGACGGGCGGCCGGCGCCGCGGGTCTTTCGCGTCGCTGGACGTCGACGGCGCGTGGCACCAACCGGAACCTCCTCGGCCGAGCTCCTGGCGGCGCTCGGCCGGTCCGCGCCGTCGGCCCTGCGCTACCCAAGCCCGTGCCGACGCGTTCTCTGGGCTTTTCATGTCGTGGGCGGTCGCCGAGGCGGGCTGGTTCGTGTCGCGGGACGTCGGCGGCACCTGCACCAATCGAAGCTTTCTCAGGGGCGATGTGGTTTCCGAAAACGCTCACCATGGTGTGAATCCAGTCGTCGACGACGGTCTGGCTGTCATTGGAGACGTGGTACGTGTGGTACGTTCCGACGAAGGCGTCCACGGG